TCTGTCATTCTCAGGCTCTCCTGAGGTGCGATTTTTGGCTGGAAACACATTCCCCTTAGGGGGAAATGCTCATTTTTGGTTCCTCTCAGGCTCGGCAGGTGCTGGAGAGGGAGTTCAACAACCTGCTCGCCCTGGGCACGGAACGGAGGCTGGATGATGTGAGTGCCAGACCCGTCCTTTGTCCTATGTTGTTGGGGGTAGGACTTGGGGCTGTGGATGGATGAGAAACTCAACATGCCCTGGCCACGTGTGCTGGGACCCCAAACCCCCTGTGCCCTGGGCTGATCCCCTAGTGTGACAGCAGGGGAGGGGGGATTCTGCCCCTCTGCCCCTCAGCTGAGACCCCCCTGCAGAGCTGCCCCCAGCCCTGGGGAACAGCAGCACAAGGAGGTGGAGTTGCTGGAGCCAGTCCAGAGGAGGCCACAGGGCTGCTCCGAGGGCTGGAGCGTCTCTTCCATGACCCCACCATCCCTTGGGGTCTTTAGAGGGGCCTGTGTGTTGATGTCTCCAAAGCATCTTTGCAGGCAGGCTGGGGAGAAGAGACAGGCAAGCTGGAAAGGATAAAGCCTTGGGATAAAGCTCTGGGACCCCAGGGAGGTCTCCTTGCCCTTGGCCCATGGTTTGATCACACATGACCCCGAGGTGAGCTCAGCTGGTCGGAGTGTGGTGCTCCCTGGAGCTCTGCCTTGGGAATCCTTCACCCCCAGAGCTTCACCAGCTGCAAGATCAGTGTCTTGGGGTTGGGAAGTTCCTCCATCCTGAGGGAATTGTACAAAGGCCTTGTGACATCAGTAGCTGGGATTAGCTCCATGGGTTGGGGCGTGGTGCTCAGAACACCGAGGTCGTGGGTTTGGGTCATTCACTGAAGAGTTGGACTCGACAGTCCCTGCGGGTCCTTCCAGCTCGGAATATTCCGTGATTGTTCTGTGGTTCCTGCGCTGCTCAGGGGTCACCGGGGCCAGGCACGCCCCCGAGGGGTGGCAGCAGTGGTGGTGCCTGCCAGGGGTGGGGTGCTGTGCCCACAGCCTGCTGTCCTGTCCCCGGCAGGGCGACGACAAGACGTTCCGCCGGACGCCGTCGTGGCGGAAGCGATTCCGCCCGCGGGACATCCACAGCATCAACATGCTCAGCGGCTCCGCAGAGACCCTCCCTGCTGGGTTCCGCGTCACCAGCCTCGTGCCACTGCCACCCCCCGCCGCCCCACCCAAGAAAATGCCCCCGGAAGGTGCGGCCCCCCTGCCCCAGGGGGGACTCTGCGTCCTGAGGGGATTCGTGGGGAGGGTGGGGAATGCGAGGTGGAGGGGAGGGGGATGGGGATGGGGATGGGGATGGGGATGGGGATGGGGATGGGGATGGGGAGATGAGGAAGGGATGGAGAAAGGGAGGGGAAGGAAGGAAGGAAGGGAAAGGGAAAGGAAAGGGAGGAAAGGGGAAAGGAAAAGGAAAGGGGAAAGGGGAAGGGAAAAGGAAAAGGAAAGGGAAAGGAAAAGGGAAAGAGAAGGGAAAGGGAAAAGGAAGGGGAAGGGAAAGGGAAGGGGAAAGGGAAAGTGGAAAAGGGAAGGGGAAAGGGAAAGTGGAAAAGGAAAGGGGAAAGGGAAAGTGGAAAAGGAAAGGAGAATGGGAAAGGGAAAAGGGAAGGGAAAAGGAAAGGGAAAGGGAAGGGGAAGGACGGGAGAAGAGACAAGACAAGAGGGAGAGGGAAAGGGAAAGAGGGAAAGGCAGAGGGAGAGGAAAGAGGACTCCTGATCACCCAAGATGCTCAGTCCAGGCGATCTCTGAGCCATTGTCTGCTGGAAATGGTTTTTCCAGGAGGGCTGTTTCACTCCTGTGTTATTTCTTGGTTTTGAACCACAAGGACAAGGGAGGGGCTGGATTGGGGGTGGAATGGGGATGTGTCACCCTGGGTTTGGCATCCAGGTCTGAGCCTGCTGGGGTAGCTCTGGGACTGTCAGGGTGCAGCAGCCCAACCTTGTCCCTCCTGCCTTTTGGAACCATCCCCAAAGGGCCTGGATTAAGCAGCTCTGTTTGCCTGAGGCTGGCAGGGCCTGCAGGGACACTCTGGCTGCTGTGCTGCTGGGTTTGGGTGTTCCTGAGCACACCTGTCCCAGGTTCTGCCCCACCACCAAAAAACTCCTTCCTCCAAGGTGTCCTGGTCCCTTCCAAAGCTCCAGCTTCTGTCCCCTGCACCGGGCACCCTGGCCCCACTGTCCCAAACCACGTGTCACATCCCCAGGGGAGCAGAGCTGGTGTCAGAGGGCTCAGAAATGAGGGGGGAATGAAAAGTGGAACGCTGTTCCTTCACCTCCCAGCTCCAAACCCCAGGCTCAGCTCTTCTCCTGCCTGCAGGTTGACTCAAATGTCACAGTTTCCCGTCCAGCAGTTTGGGTCAAACTTCCCTTCAACCTTTCCCACTCCATCCCTGGAAGCTGCAATTCCCACCCAGTTGAGGGCAGTGAAACCTGGGAGAGAATCCCACCCAGACATGGGGAGCTCCCCAGGAATAGGAATGGCAAGAGGCCACTTCCCAAACACGCTGGAGCTTTGGGAGCATCAGGGCTGGCCAAACACTGCTCTTCCTTTGATCTCGTCTCGGGGCTGCAGGGCACAGATCCTGCTGAGTAAATGGTTTGGGGGAAGCTGAGGGCTGATGGAGTAGTCACCAATTGCTTTGTTCTTTGGCTCCCTCCCAGTTGGTGCCTCGGGGTCGCCCAGGCTGGAGACCTCCACGGTGCGGACGTACTCCTGCTGAGGGTCAGCCAGACGGGACCCCGGCCCTGGGTGAGTGTGAGGACACCCAGGCCTGGCAGCTGGGGGGGCACCAGCACCAGCCAGGCAGGCTGGCTGCCTTCTCCAAGGTTTGCCTTGCCCTGGAGGACCATGGAGACCTCAGGGGTGGGGCAGCTGCTGCTGCCTGAGGCTCTCGGGACCCCGAGGAGATGCGGGAGGGACGCTCCGCATCCCACCCCGGGTGCTTTATCTAGCTGCTCTGGGGACCCGCAGGGTGCCATCCTAGATGGGGGGTGAGGGAAGGGTAGTCAAGCACTTCGAGAGGCTCCTGGGATCCTGCTGTACCCCTGGGTTCCTGGTTCTGTGCCAGGAAGATCATTGCCCACTCCCGCTGGGTTTGTTGGAGTTGAGCCACCACTCTCACAGGGCCTTTCCCACTTTGTTCCTCAGCACTCCCTGCTCTCCGAGTGGCCACGTGCTGGCTGCCTTCCAGGACAAGAGCCCAGCCTGTGCCTGTCCCTCGGCCTCGCTGCTCTGGACTCACCAGGATCTGTCCCTCCTGCTTGTGACCCCACCGCTTCCCCCCTGGCTCCCGACCGTGGCCTGCCCACCCAGCCCTGCTCTCGCTGCTGGGGATGTGCTCCAGGGGCCGTCCCAGCGTGGGGACACCCACGGAGCGACAGAGACGCCCCAGAGCGGGCTGTGATGTTTGGAACCCTTCCTCCCGCCTGGTTCACGGTGCCAATCCTGACCCGCCCGAGCCCGGGCTGTGGGGGATGTGCCCTCAGGACTTGAAGCCAAGGAAGATTCCGATTCAGACTCTGCCGGGGTGGCCGCGCAGGGAACTGTCCCCGGGGCCGGGGGCAGTGCCGGGGGTGGTGCTGTGTGTGGGTGGGGCCGTGGGGGGGTGAGGAGGGCGGTGTCTGCCCAGGTGCTCATTTTGGTGCTGCCAGGTGCCCACGGAGCGGGGAGGCCGTGCCTGCAGGGCAGGGCTGTGTGGGGAGGGCTGGCACTGCCCTGTGTGGCTCAGTGCCAGGACGCTGCCGGCACCCACGGGAGAGGGGACCCTCCTTGGGGCCCCGGGGGGGACGCACGGGAGCACCCAGAGCCCCCCGGGACGTGCCCACCCCTTCCCCTCCGGGTGCAGAGGAGATGCTCTCCCCTCCTGCCTCCAGGCTACGGGCAGGGATCAATCCAGGAGACTCTTAACTCTTCCCATTTCTCCCCCGTAGGGTAGGATCTCTTCGTCTCCTCATGCCACGTTTGCCTTGTGTGGCCCCTATTTCTGATGTGATATTTATTGATGGCTGGAATGACCTTATACTTATCATGTGCTGTCTGGAAGTGCAATATCTGAGAGGCTCTACAGTCACAACGTCTTTTCGGTGTATTATTTGCCTAATACAGTATTAAATATTTTTTTAATTTGAAGAGTCGGTGAGCCCTTTATATCAATGCCCTATTTCTTTTGTCATATTATTGGTACTGCATGGACTCCAAACCCTGGATTGGGTCAGGAAAGGATGTATGTGTGTTCCAATAAACAGGATTTTAAAACAGTGCTGGGCTCGAGCCTTCTTTCTAGAGGCCAAATAAAAAATATCATGAATCTTTAGCCCCCTCAGGAACCTTGGGGTACAGGGCTGAGCCCCAGTTGCTGGGGATCTCAATCCACTGGTGTCTCAAGGGCTGATTTAAATGTGGCACATCCAGTTCCCACCTGAGCGACTGCACTGAGGTCCAGCTGGATTTTCTGATACGGAAAACCCCAACCTGGGAACTGGGGTGACCTGCACAGAGGGAAACAATACTAAAGGAGAATCCCAAGCAGTCCAAACAAGAATGCGTTTATTAAAAAAAAAAAAAAAAAATCCAAATAAGTTAGCAAAAATAATAATTAAAAAACCAAACCTCTAAATGGCAACTGCACACAGCGCTCAGTAGAAAAGACGGGGCAGGCTCTGGGTCAGCACCGGCCCGAGAGAGCCCTTGGTCAAGGAGCATCTGGGATAAAAACATCAGCAAAGCGAACCCAGCACACACATTGGCCCCCAAAACCCCAAAACTGGGGAGCAGAGCAGAGCCCCACGCCAAGAACCGGGCCCTGCCAACATCCCACCTCTCCCCGGTCTCGTCGCCGGCTGGGTGGGGCGGGAGCGTTTGGCGGGCAGTGGGAAGGAGCTGAGCGGTCTCAGCGCTGCTGGGGGGTAAATGTGATCCCCAGGGCTGGACCCTTCCAGCGCCCGACTCCCAGCTCGAGCGTCGGTGCCGGCTCAGTTCTGGAGCGGCTCCTCCCGGAACGTCACGGCCACGTCGTCGCCGGCGATGCTGTCGACGATGGAGGACAGCGAGGGCAGGTTCCGCTCCTCCGGCCCCTCCTCGGCCAGCAGGTGATCTGCGGGGAGCAACGGGGGTGGCACTGCTGGGGACGGGCACCCTGAGCTGGGGGACAGCTCCTGGCTCCGCGGGGGACAGGGTTTAGTGCTGGTGCTGGTTGATGATCCTAAAGGTCTTTTCCGACCTCAGTTTGGTGGTTCTGTTCCACAATTCTATGACCTTGTGGTCCCTCCCGTGGCCGGAGTGGGACCTACTCCCAGCTCCCACCCTGGGGAAGGAGGAGGGAGCAACAAGGTGTGGGATTTTTGGACACTTTTTGGGTCTTATTCTTTGCTGGAAAACGAGATTCAAGTTTCTGCCTTCTGGGGAAAATAACAGGTGGATTTGGCAGGGGGGGGGGAAGGGGGGGGAAATAACTGTAATCATGGAAAAATGATCAGCAGCTGCAGAGGGGGAGTGGGGAGGGAAGGGGAGCCCGGGACAAAGATGCTCAGAGATCCTCAGCAGTGCTCAGAGATCTCAGCAACTCTCAGAGATCCTCAGCACTGCTCAGAGATCCTCAGCAATGCTCAGCACCACAGCCCTTTTTGGGATGGAGCTGCCTCTGCTCGCCCTCATCTTCCCCTTTTTTGGGGAGGGATCCAGCTATGATCATCTTCAGCCCTCTCCCCTCCTCCCCCAGCTCTTTGTGGGATGGAGAAGGCTCAGGATCCTCATTCCCCTCCGTTTCCCCAGCTCTCTAAAAGAGGAATCAGGGGATGGCCATGGATGAGCCTTGCTGGGGGGTGAAGCCACCAGGCCCCCTGGCTGCTGCAGTGCAGTTTCTCAGCTCCTAAGATCTGGTGTCTCAGTGAAATCAGGGCTTGGAGAAGCCTGAATTTGATGAGAACTGAGTGAAAGAGGATTTCTGAGCTCACCCCTCTGCAGCAGTGGGGTGGGGAGAGAAGGACAAGGCTCTTTCTGTCCTTTGCTCCTTTGTTTGGGGGGGGTTGGCTTAGTGATGTGCTGTGGTGTCCCCAACTGTTCCCACTCCCTCCAGAGCCCAGGGAGGCCGGGGGGTGGCACAGCCAGGTAAGCAGGACCTTCTTTACCTGCAGAGTTGGTGCCAAACTCCAGCTGGGTGCTCCACTCGGGGCTGCAGGATGAGCTGCTGGATCCACACTCGCTGGTGGCCTGTGAGGAGTTGAGATGCCAACCATGGGTGTCACCTCCTCCAGCCCCAGCAGCCATCCCAAAACCACCCCAGGCTGCCCAGTCACCTCAACAGAACACCCCTGTGGAGGTGAGAACATCCCTCCACCCCTGCAAAGGATCCTGGGATCCATCAGGGCTGAAAAACCTCCTTTTAGGGCTCTGGACACAGGGAAATGGGGCCACCTGCTCCCTGCAGGTCAAAAGGTGTCTCTTTACCCCGAGAAAGGGCTGCAGATGGACAAAGGGCCTTGGACAAAACAGCTTTTTGCTGAAAATCATCTAATCAGGCCCATAAAAAGTGATGCCCTGGGGCCACCCCGAGGGGGTTCCTGGGAAAGAGCTTCTGGCAGTTTGATTTGTGGATTTGGGGCTTAGTGGTTATTTCCCAGAAAAGAGCTGAGAAATGAGAGCTCGGAATGAACTTGTTTTGGAGTGTGTCTTTATCCAGGAGTGGATGCCAACTCAGGTAAAACCCAAAATGGGATTTCCAGGAGCAACCCCACAGACCCAACTCTTTGTAGTGGCCCTGGAAGTGGCACTTTGGGCCCACGAGCTCCTGGCAGCACAGGAGAATTAATTAACACTTGGCTTTACTTCCCCCTGAAGCAGGAAATTCTTACAGATACGATTTTTTTCCCAAAAAAATATTGGCTTTTGCATCACCTGGGAGAAGGGGCAGCTCAGGACAGAAGTGACACAGAGGCTGCTCAGCACGGTTTTGGACCCTTTGCAGGGACAGCCACCAAATCCACCCAAATCCAAGTGGATCCTGGGAAGTGGAAATTGGATTCTGGTGTCCGTGGATACTGAGAAATCCTGAGAATATGGAACAGGATGGGGCCTAAAGGCTTTTCCAGTCCTTTATTCAGCATTAAATGTTGGGTTACTGGTCCTTAAATCCTCGAGTCTGAAAGCAGATGAATCTCTGGGAATCCCATTCTTATCAAGTCCCTCTATATCATCCATATTTATATCTATCTTTATCTGTATCTACATGTACATCTATATATCCCTATTTTATCTATGACATTTATATCCATAGCTACATTACCTGTATATAAATTATCTATATCTATACATAATTTCTCTCTATATATACATATATCCATAACATTTATATATGTTATTTATCTGTATAATCTTATCAATGCTTATATCTCTATATATCATATACATATATTTGTATCACATATATACATATTTAACTATAGAGCTGTATCTATATCCACACCTATTTCAGCTGTATCCACTATCTCCATAATCTCTGTCTCTTTAATCTGTATCATCAATGCCTGTACCACACATTCATCTCCAGTATCTATAATCTCTACCTGTATCACCTGTGCCTGGAGCTCTCTGTACATTCCATATCCAAAGGCTCAGAGTGCACACCCAGCACTCCCCCAGCAACCAGAGGGCAGCTGAAAATACCCCTCCAAGTGTTAATTTTATTTTATTTACTTTTTATAGTCCTATTTTTGTGGTTGATATTTTTACTTAATTTTTATTTTTGTATTTATCTTTCATTTTATTGGTTTATTATTTGATTTTATTCCATCTTATTTTTAGTTTAGTTTGGTTTAGTTTGCTTTCATGTTACTTCTTTCATTTTGGCCTGTGTGATCCCTCCAAAGCCCAGGCACGTGTCACTCACAAAGCAGTGACCCCACTGTCCCCACAGAGCAATGACCCCATAGAGCACCACTCCCCTATAGCAGTGTCACCCCGAAATTGCATCACCCCCTTAAAGCACCATCCCAGAGAGCACCAACCCCACAGTGTCACCCCCACAGAACATCACCCCCATAGGGCATCGTCCCCATAGAGCATCACTCCCCTACAGCATCGCCCCCACAGTGTCACCCCAAATGACATCACCCCACAGAGCACTGTCACCCCCACAGAGCACTGTCACCCCCACAGAGTGTCACCCCCATGCGACACAACTTCCATAGGGTGTTGTCCCTATAGGGTATCATTCCCATGCAGCATCACCCTCATAGAATGGCACCCCAAAATGGCATCACCCCACAGAACATCGTCCCATAGGGCACTACCCCCCCTAGAAAGTCACCCCATAGGGCATGAGCCCCACAGAGCACTGTCACTCCCACAGAGTGTCACCCCATAGGGCATAACCTCCACAGGGCACTGTCCCCATAGACCATCACGCCCACATGGTATCACCCTCACAGCGTGTCACCCCGGAATGGCTTCACCCCCATAGAATGTCACTGCCATATGGCATCATCCCCACAGAAATGGCATCACCTCCATCAGGTATCACCCTCTTTGGACAGATCCCCCACAGAGCACCAGTCCCCTAGAGCATCACCCCATGGGGCATCACCCCCACAGGGCAGTACCTGCATAGAGCACCACCCCCATCCATGAGGTCTGATCCCCACAGGCCATCACCCCATCCAGCAAAACCCCATGGGGCATCACCCCCACTGGGCAGTGCCCCTATAGACCATCACCCCCATGGGGCATCACCCCATAGATCATCATCCCCCTTGGCCAGTGCCCCTATAGAGCACCACCCCCATCCATGGGAAATCACTCCCATTGGGCATCACCCCGTGGAGCATCCCCCCATCCATCACTCCCCCTTGGGGCATCCCCCCATCCATCCCCCCATCCATGCCCCCATCCATCCCCCATCCATCCCCCCATCCATGCCCCATCCATGCCCCATCCACACCCCTCCATCCACACCCCCATCCACACCCCCATCCATGCCCCATCCATGCCCCATCCACACCCCCATCCATGCCCCATCCACGCCCCCATCCATGCCCCATCCACGCCCCCATCCATGCCCCATCCATGCCCCATCCATGCCCCATCCATCCCCCCTCCCAGTGCCGGTTCCCGGTGCCGCTCACCGCGGGCTGGGGCGCTGCGGGGCGGAACCGCAGCTCGCGCTGCTCCCGGTCCTGCTGGTTGAGGGAGCTGAGCAGGCTCTGGAGCCGCTCGATGTACTGGATGGCGCTGCGCAGGATCTCCACCTTGGGCAGCCGCTGGTTGGGGTTCAGGAGGGTGCTGCGCTTCAGCGCCTCGAACGCCTCGTTCACCTTCTTGAGCCGCCGCTTCTCCCGCAGCGTGGCCGCTCTCCGCCGGTCCATGGACACTGTCTTCCTCTTGCACACCTTGCAGGCCCAGGGCAGGCACTGCCCGGGGCAGTGCTCGCCCACCGAGTCCTTCTCCTCCAAAGCCACCCTGCCCTCGGGGCACAGGGAGACCTCGGCGCGCTCGGGGAACACCGCTGGGTCATAGCGGGAGCCCAGGAAATTCTCCCCGTCGTAAAACCTCTGCTCCGGGAAAAAGTAAGGGTTGGTCTCGAAGAGCTCCATGGGCGCTCGGGGGGCTCGGGATGTGTGTGTGGCTCGGGGACGGCTGTTCCCTCTCCCTACGCCAACTGCTCGGTGCCATTTAAACCCCGGCGCTGGCATTAAATCACGGAGATAAATATAGAAACCCTAAAGGAAACCTGAGCCCGGCCTAAGCTGCTGCCTCACATCAAAACTTGTCCGTCTGATTTCATGTGCTCTCTCCCCACGGGGGTTGCCGTGCCCGGCGCTGGGGGAGCCAGGGGGGCTGGCACGGCGCGGGGGGCAGCTCGGCCACCCCTGAACAGGGGCTTTGTGTGAACCCTGGGTGCCAGGGCGGCTGGAAGGGATGGCAGCTCCCGCTGCAACTCCTGCCCCATCTGGTCCCTTCGGTTACGGCCGGGCTGGGGGAGCCCACGGGGGCCGGGGCACCCTCGTCCTGTCATCCCCTTCATCCCTTCTGTGCCCCCTCAAGCCCAGGGCACGCCGGCTCTGTCACCCCTGCAGTCACACCCAGCAGTGCACAGCACCTCCCACTGCTCGGCATTCCCACCTCCCGATCCCGCTCTGCCCACCTTCCCCACGGCCCCATCCTGTTGGTGCACGGAGCCCTGATCCCACTGCTGCTGCAGCCCTGGGGAAGAGAAGGAATCCAGCCCTGGAAGGGAAATCCCAACGCAGGGAGCACCCCGGGGTCCCGCCTGCTCCCCAGGGACACTCCTGTCCCTGTGCCAGTGCTGTGCCAGCTGCCTGTCCTGCAGGAATAGGGCAAGCAGGACGGGCAGGAGGTGCCAGACCCAACGTTTCCTCCCCCACGGGCTCCCTGAAGGTGCCTGGTTGAGTCCCTTAGTCACATTTTTGTCACAAAATCCACACTTGTGGCTTCTCCCACGAACCAAACCCAAAGGACACCTTCTCCCACCTGTCTCCAGCAGAGCCTGGCTGGGCTGGACCTCCCCCATCCCATCTGGTCTCCTGCCCCAGCCTCTGGACATGTGGATAACCAAAGCCCCAATGCCATCCTGACACAGCCCTTTCCCAGAAAAGACACACTGCTCCCACATTCCCAGTGGGGAAACTGAGGCACAGCCAGCAGCAGCAGCAGCGTGGGTGGGATTTTAACCCATCCCCAGCCCTTCCCTATCAATTCCAACCACTTGACCACATCTCTCCAGCTTTATCTGTAATTCAGAGGGGATTTTTTTTTCCATCAGGAACGTCAGAAACCATCTCCCATCTCCTCCTATTCCTGCTCCAGGCCAGATTCCAGCTGAGGGATCGGTCAGTGGAAAGAATGTCAGCAAAGTGCAGGGCCAACCATGCCGGGATTTTCCTTCTCCAAATCCCCCCTCCCTGGAGAGGCTGTGCCACAACACATTCCCTGTGCCTGCCACCAGCACCCTTGATCACTTTGGGTTGATTTCTGGACTTTTTGGAACCCACCATGATAGTCCTCTCTTTGAAGAGAGTTCTTTGGGTCCAGGATGTTTATGACACTCCCTCACCCTGATTCCAGCTCTCCTGCGGTCCCAGCCCTGGGGATTTGCTGTCCCCGTGGCTTTGACATCTGTGAAGGTCTGCACCGAGGAAAGCAGGACCCACAGCCTCGAGGTTCACCCTTGGCACAGCCCCTGGGTCATCAAACCCCAAAATTCTCCAGAGGGAAAGAAATCTGAGAAAGAAATCAGCGGGGCCCTGGTTGATGGGAAGGCACTGAAACAGCTGGGAAGGGGCAGGATTCATCCCTGAGGGTGAGCAGAGGTGCCTGTGGAAGGTGTGAAGATGTTAAGAGGGGATAACCCGGGCCCAAGAGCTTCACATCAGCTTGTCATTGTCGTGTGAGGCAACTTAACTCACTCATGGGGACCTTTATTGGTGGCACTTACTGGTGGGCACGACCCTGGTGAGCCCCTGGGCCAGGGGAGCCTGCAGGACCCCCCGACTCCACCTCGTAAATGGGCTTTTTGAACTGCAGGAACGTGTTTGGAGAGTGAGGGACACGGCAGTGACAAAACAGGGCACGTGTTGGACCCGGACAAGGGACAGCCCAAACATCTGGCCCTTCATAAACAGGGGCAGCACCACGGGGCAGGAGCTGCGTGTCACCCGTCCCTGGCCAGGAGATGGGGTGTTCAGCCAGTCCCCAAAGGCCACCAAGGCCACCGTGTCCCCAGAGCTGAGCAGGCAGAGGGGACAGGGGACAGCTCAGGGACAGCTCAGGGACACCAGGGCACACAGAGCCAGTGTGTGATGGGGACTGGGGAACAGGGACCCCACTGGGGGGGCAGCCCCAGCACCTGCACTCGCTCCAGCTCCTTCCAGGGGTCTCATCCCGCGCCGTGGGAGCCGGGATAATGCTGTGCCTGCCCGGCTGCAGCTCCAGCAGCTCCAGTAGCCCCTCTATGCCAAGGATGACCCCGAGCCTGGGCACGGCAGGGGACACAGCGAGGTCTGCGGGCCCAGCAGGGCTATCCTGGCTGGTATCAAACCAGGGGCAATTGCTGGGCAAGGAACCACCACCAAGGGACCTCAGGGCTCCGGAGGGGGCTCCCACCACGGCTCCCACCACCCCGGGCACCCCCAAAGGCACGTGCTGAGGGGACAAGGCAGCTTTTCCCGGTGGCTGCCGGCGGTGCCCCGGGTGAGTGGGAGCCGGCGGGGGATTAGGGCAGTGCTGCCGGCTGTCAGGTTAGCCCGTGATCGATGGGGGCGGCTGCGAGGCAGCACAAAGGCGAGGCTGTGCGAGCCCCGGGCAGAACGTGCTGCGATCCGTCACGGGGTGACCTTCCCCCCCGGCTCCGGAGGCCTCCCGGGGACGGCTCACCCCGACACGGCCACCGGGCCCTGCCAAAAATACCCGTCCATTGAGAAAATCCCGGTCGGGAGAAGGGTTTGTCCTTGCTCCTCCAGGGCAGCTTCCCGAGCCAGGCCAGGTCCGGGAGCGGAGTCACCGAGAGGCACCGCGGGGCTGCCTCGGTTGTTTTCTCTCCCAGTACGGCTGATGGTGTGGACTTGCTGGGTTTGGGGATGCACGTGGAAGTGTTGTAGCCTTGGTGGATGTCCCTCCCTGCCAGTGCTCAGCGTGTTGTCCCCGTTCCACGCCCGGGAGCTCATCCCTGCCCGGTGCAGGAGCTGCTCAGCCCCTGCCCTGGAGCTGGGGATGGACCTGGCTGAGCTCCTTCCATGGAAAGGGCAGAAAGAGCCGGCTTTAGGGGCTGCTGGAGCAAATCGGGTGCCCAAGGCAGCATCTACAGCCCCACAGTGTGGGCACTGATGAGGAGAAAGGCTGGGGCTGGCCAGAGATCATCCCACAGGGGTCCTACCAAAATGCCACTTCCAGTCGGACCCATCCTCCACCCCCACTGGGCAAGGCACCCCCCCCATCCCGTGTCCCCTCTGGTTTTCCAGGCTCACCCGACATCCCTTCCTGCCGCCGTGACAAGTCGTAACATATTTGGGAGCAGCTGCAGGCGGCGGGAGATGCTTGGCCCTGTCCCCGCTCCCGGGCGAGGAATGCGGAGCAGAGCCCTCCTCCGACACCCGGGATTTCCGACGTGCCTGCTCGCCGGAGATTTGGGACGGCGACAGCTGCTCGGCCGCGATGGGGCCGGGGCAGAGCCTCCCCCTTCAGCCCCAGCCTCGTTCCATGCTGTTGGGAATTCCGGATTGGTTTGGGGTCCCACCCGTGGGGAGAGATGGGGGACGATGTCCTGCGATGGGGGACGATGTCCTGCTGTCCGTCAGTGGCGGCAGGACCGGCCAACAGCCCCTTCCTCACCCGCAGGTGCCAGCTCACCCAGTTTGGGTTGCTGGTAGGGAGGTGGGATGGGGCTGCTCCTGCAGCTCCGTGTCCCCGTGGGGCTCAGCACCCTCGGTCCCCACCCCCCCTCCCACCCAGGTCGCACTTTCCCCATCAGGGATCACGATGGAGCTGTAAAATCTGGTTGGAGAAGAGTTTTATTTTGGTTTTCAACTGTTTGACCTGGGAGGGGGGTGAGAGATCAACAGAGAGGTGCTGGTGCCTGAGCAGTCCCCAGTCCCCTGGATCCCACTCTGGGGACAATACTGGGTGTCCCAACACGGCAATCCACTGGTCCCAGTCTGGGGATTTCAGTGGGTGCTCTGCTGGGTCAACCCTGTGTACCCTGACCCACCATCCTGTTCCAGTGCAGGAACTCCCCTGGGGTGCCCTGACCCACCAGTTGCCAGGATTCCAGTTTGGAGACCAAACCAGGTGCCCCAACTGGTTCCCAGTCCAGGGGCCACACTGGATGTCCTCACACACTATCCTTTCCCAGTTTAAGGATAATACTTGATGGCCTGACACACCATCCTCTCCCAGTTTAGGGACCCTTCTGGCTGTCTTGACCCACCAGTCTGCCCCAGTCCAGGGACCATACTGGGTGTCCTCACACACCATCCTGTCCCAGTCCAGGGACCCTTCTGGGTGCCCTGACCTCTCTCCTTGCCCACACTGATGCTCTGCCCCTCTTCCAGCACCAAACCTCCTGTGTTTCTGCCCTGCCATGGCCTCCCTCCCTCCCTCCATGACCCCATGGCCTGGACATGACCCCTTCCCTTCCCCTTCTCCTCCCTCTTTCTCTTCCCCTCCCCCTTCCCCTTCCCTTCCCCTTCCCGAACTGCAGCTGGAGGAGGGATCCACCCAGCAGGACCCCACTAAAGAACCCTCAGTGGGTTTCCCTTCTAGGGTCACCCCATACCGGGGGCATCCCTGACTTCTCCTGCCCTCCCTGCGCGGTGGCACCGGCCGGGCTGTCCCCACACGTGTCACAGGGGGGGGGGACCCGGCTTGTCAACAAGGGGCTGCTTCCCCCGGGGTGGGGGAGTCTGGGCTGGAGGGAGCTGGAGGACAGGTGGGTGTTTGGAGGAAGCTCCATGAATGTGAGGGATTCAGCAGCGACAAGTGGCGGCTATTTGACCCCCCGGAGGGACAGCTGTCCTGGCAGGGGGATGGCGCCGCGCCCGGGGACGGGACCTGGGGACAGCGGTGTCCCTCGGCAGGGGACACAGCCCTGAGATGGGCTGGCTGGGACAGCACAGGGAGGGGGCTGGGGGGGCTGCCAGCCAGGAATCCTGGGTGGG